AGGGAAAAGAAACTTGGAAAGCAGCAGTGCTATTAGACTTTGAAATGAGTGAGGTCAAGTAGATGAGGGAAGGTTTCATTAGACAACTCAGAGCCTAAAGAGCTGGGTTATTTTTAGATAATAAAGGAAGAGGTGTTGGGTCCAGGGAGAGATAAGAATCACTTTGAAGGCTGAGGGCAGCTGCAGGCACTGAAAGTGGGAATAAAATGGAGAACAAAGGAACAAAACCAAGAGAATACCAACATTTTTCATAGTATACATGTTCCGAGGCTTTCAAAATATATCCTTAATTCAAGAACACATCAAAGATAGGAAACGCAATGAGAACCTGACCAAGGTCAGTCACAAAGGCAGGTGAGGGGCACAGTGGCCAGCCACAGGGGCCTTTTGGTCATCTATTCTAGGGGGGGAGCCCAGAGAGTATATAACAAACACTAAAAATCTATTGTTTCTTATGGTCCAAAGGGTAGTGGGTAGTGGAATGGTGACATAAAAAGCTGACCTGGAATCAGGGGTACTACCATAAATTTCCTATTCCTGCACACAGAGGAAATTCCTGCTGATCCACCTTACTAAGCTAATGATCAGCTCCTCAGATCTGACCCTACAAACAGTACAGTTCTCTCGAATCTATTCTTCACATAGCAGTTTACAGAGCAATCAGTCTCAAAGACAAAGTAGAGATAAAAACTACTCAAGGAGAAGAGTACACTTACTGGACTAGCTTTATATACTTCTAAGAAGACTCGATGAGGACTTGGGTATGAAGCCAATAGTTTTCAGGGTCCTAGCACCTAGGCCAGAGTTTCTTGGTAGTTGTGGAACTACTACCAAGCATTACTCCCAAGGTTCTCATTCCATACAGCTAGGATGGGGCCCAGGAATGTGAATTTTTTAAATGTTGCACAGGTATTCTTTTTTTTTTTTTTGTCTTTTTTTTTCCGTGTCCAGCAACGGATCGCAACCCTCAGTGTTGCCCCCATACCGGACCGGGGACCGGCAACGGGATTGCAACCCTCGGTGCCGCTCCCGCGCCTCGCTCAGCCAGTGAGCGGGAACCGGTCCGTATGTGGGATCCGAACCCTCAGGCGGGAGCGCCACCGCGCTTCCCAAGTGGCGCACTATCCAGTGCGCCACCGGGCCGGCCCAAATGTTGCACAGGTATTCTGATGTCTTACTTCCCTCTGACCCCTTCCCCAACTTGAGAGCAATCAAGCTAGAGCTAACGATCCATAAATGATTTGAAAATGAGTACATTTTCCCACTACCTAATAGGCATATTAAAGAGATTCAGTACTAATATCTGGGCTCAAACACTGAGCAGAAACTGAAATTAGATTATTGCCAGTTTTATCCTTCATGAAACCCACCTACACAAACTGTTCTTAGAGCCACGTATTAAAAGGCTCAAAGCACTATCATAAAATTACACAGGAAAAAACTTCAGAAAAGAGAGAGAGAAGAATTAGATTTGCAATCATAAAAACAGAGCTAGAAGAAAGTCACCACCTTACCCATTGTTTCCAGAAGGGATAATACATAAAACAGATTGAATTATGGCTATTAAGGAGGAGGATTTCAAAACCTCCTTCACTTTTTCAAAATCTAACCACCCTCCAGCACAGACAATCCTTTCGTATCCCTAATTTAAATCTTGCCTGCATGGCTTCAGTCCATTTCTGTCCTCTGGTAAAATAGAAAAATAACCCAGCTCCCTCCACATAAAAATCTTTCAGAAAAAAGGGTGAGGGTTAGCTACCAAGAGCACAGACATTTGCTTCTTAATGAAAACACAGCCTCAACTGAGACGAGAGGCAGGAACTAACAAATGTACATACAGGATTTGACCTTGAAGGGTATTTACAATTGATAACTTCAAATTACACTTCATCAAGACTCAACATATATGGCATAAAACCTCAAATCACTCTTTTCCAATTTAATCCAATGCAGAGATGTCCCTCCCTTTACAAAAGCTTAATAAAAATCCCAGCTCTCATCTACTCGCTCTATAGAATTTAAAGCTCCCTCTCTGCTTAAGCTTTTAACTATATTTTAACCATACTTTTAACTGGGTCTCTCCTTAATGAACACTACTTTCTGCATATGTGCACCTTCTGCAAATGTGTACTTCGTTCTTGCTTATGCCATTAGCACCTAAACAAGCTGCATCTCTTTTTCACCTTTTTATTATTCCTAGTTTTGATTTCTCTTCTAACGGGGTCACAAACTCTGTTCATTTCTTATTCTTCTGGACTTCCAGGTTTATCTCTAAATTTGACATCTGGAAATTATTATTTCATTTATTCCTTTAGCACTTACTGCATATCTTACACTGTCCTAAACTGTGTGATATAAAGGCAATAAAGAACATGACCCCTGACCCTAGGAAATAAAGACATACATAAAAGAACAATTAGAGATTGGCTTCAAGGTAGTGGGGCTAGTCAGAGAAAGCCCTGTGGCTCCGGCAAATATGGAATTGGACCTAAAAATAAGGGCAGAATTTGGTGAAAAGGATGAGGAAAGCTACTTTATTTATTTTTTTTGACTGGTAAGGGGGTCGCAACCCTTGGCTCGGTGTGGTCCGCACCACGCTCAACCAGTGAGTTCACAGGCCATCCCTATATAGGATCCAAACCCGCGGCCTTGGCGCTACCAGCACCGCACTCTCCCACCCGAGTGAGCCACGAGGCCGGCCCTGAGGAAAGCTACTTTAGATAGAAGGAACAGTATGATTCAATAGGAGGCCATATGCGGTAAGATCTACATAAAGGCCTTCTGACACTTTCTTCTTTACCCCCCAAAAGAGGCATGTGTCTTTTTTCTTCAAATTTTATTTCAGAACTAGCTATCCATAAATCAGAGTTTTCTATTACCATTATTACCCTAAGCCACCACATATTAGAGCAACTCATGGAGCCTAATACACCAGGTCCTATATGTGTTACCACAAGGCAAGCTTTTAAAATAATCTTAGGTAGAGAGTCTCCAGTAAAGATTGTGAGGAGTTAAGCATCTCTAGGGTCCTAAGTACATAAAGACAGCTCCTACTCTTGGGTGCTAAAGATATGTAGCAGTGCTCTTGCTCTGTCAGACCATTCAAGGGTCACTCAATTTCAGTGAAGTAATTCCTTCACACACAGCTTTAGGAGAGACAAAGCCATTTAAAGCAGTCTGAAGCACTGAATTCCTATTTGAAATGGGGATATTAAGTAGTGATGCCAGGGGTACCCTTTTATTCACTGTTTTCCTGGAGAGTTCTCCTCCTCCAGCCTCAGGACTCACAGTTCAAGCATCCCTTCCTCTGTGAAGTCTTTCCTAACTCCCCTAAACTAACTTAGGTCCCCTCCCAGGTGCTTCCATTAATAACTTATGCATACTTCTAGAACAGCACTCACCACACCATGTTGTAATTATTTGTTTACATGTCTGACTTGCCACAAGCTCTTTGATGGCAAGGATAATGCTTTATTAACCACTGATTCCATACCTAATAGGCACTCAAACACTCAAATACTTGTTGAATGCATTAATGATGAATGACATCGGAAGTATTAAATAATGGTGACTGTACCTTTTGGATTCTAGACCAAAATTACAATAAGTATTAACTCTGAAGACTAAACTCCCATTATACATTTCTACTACATATACCTTTCCTGGCCAGTAAAAGAGGCCAAAGGTATGAGAAGACTGCTTAAATAGTGGTGGTCACTGCCAAGTTACCAGCCAAGAATATGAGCATTTGTAATACTAAGAATGAGTGAACAGAGTAATATATAAGACAGTTTCTAAGTTTCAGCCTCTTTCTCCTGCCTCTGGAGAACAAGAACAATGATTAAGGAGTCCTTGGAATGGTCTCAATCTCCACTGCCATGGAACTTCATGGCAAATTTTGATTCAATACAATCTCTGTTGAAATATACGGGAAAGTTGTCCATCTTCTTACCAAATCCAATTAAGGTTCTGCTAAAGAACAGGGATCTGAACTATGTCCTCCCAGAACCCTGCCATGTTGTACATTAGCACTCTAAATCATTCCTCACCCAGTTTACTCGTCCCTGAAGAAATACAGACAAGGCAATAAAATGCTGCTGTCTCAAATGCTTCTCCCAGTAGCAATCCTGTACCAACAAGGCTACTGTGTTTACAGGCTGCTAATAAGACACAAAATCTAATCTGACCTTGTGAGAACAAAGCCCTGAATTCTCTCAAGGGATTAAAAAAAATTTTAGTCAACTTTTGTATTCCCCAAGTTGTGGGGCTGAATAAAGTTGAATAAAGCTTAGGGACGAAAGCCCAGACAAGCCAAGGGATGGAAAGAGACTATGCCTCTGAGGAACATTTGCAGCAGGGGTGGGATGTAGCCCTCGACATATAGTGAATGAGATAAGCAATGTTCAAGGACAAAACAGGAGAACTGTTGCACTGGCAGACATCTGGCTCGTTACATGTTATCATTCCTAAGTAGCCAAGAAGATCCAGTTAAATTAAGTCTCTTGAGAGGCAAATAAATTTGTTTTGACCTCAGGCAAAAGCGATTACCAAACATTCTTCAGACTAGGTGTTTTAGATTTTTTTTTTCTGCTACTACAGTCTTACATAACCCCAGTTGTTACATTAACGTCTGCAGCCACATTAGTCACAGCTTAGCCCTTCAAAGGGTATGTGGTTCCACTATCCTCTTCCAAGAAGGGAAACTGAGTCATAGCATATCAACTGGCTTCCCCAAGCACATACGTTGTAGTGAAGCCAGGTTGCCTTCCTCCTATTCACCTCTTCTCAGGGATGATTCTCAGCATGCCCATCCCTACTACTCATTTTCCTTCAACCTAAAACCAAATCATTGCCTGCTTGCGGGGCAGAGATTACATCTGACCCTTTAGAGCCAGCAGGAGCTTCTAGTTTTCTTCTTTTCCAAGAAAGAGTAAGGTGAAAGAGGAACATGGAGGACAGGGTAGGGTTGGAAAGAGGTGGCTCCCAATATGAGGACTCACCTTGGAGCTGAGGTCCTCTCGCCGGTTTCCTGCCTTACTCCTGCGTAATTTGATGGATGGGGATCGCAGCAGGTTCTTTATCCGGCTGGTAATGGTTGACCCTTCCATAGCCATCATGATGAGGAGCCCCTTAGGACAGATTCCGGTCCAGTCTTGGGACTTGTCTTAACAGCGGCACTGCCTTCCCACGGGACCTTCCAATATGCCCTCTCACGGACCTGAGATGGGAGAGGCCACCTTAGCATCACAGTAGGTGTCTTATTTTCCGCGTAGCCCGGGTCTGCAGCTCTTACCTCTAGGTATTGATTGCCCTCTCCTTTCACCTCATCCCCACCTTCAAGCCCTGCGCGGTTTCTTACAACGTTGGAAAGACGCACCCATGAAAAGAGGGGGAAAATCCTGAGCCGCGAGGAAATACCAGGGCCACGCCTGCCAGCAGCGTTTAACTGAAGAGATGGGCTGGGCCCTAGTAGGACTGGTAGCCGGTCTGCTCCCCGTTAATTCCCAGATGTTCCCACGGCAACTGCGGTGTCCAAGTGACAAGGCCGCCGAGGCCACCGGCGACTTCCTCACCGGGCCTGGGTACCTGCACTAGCAGCCGGGGGACTCGGCGCGGCGGGGCTCGCTGTGGCCCAGCAACCCGTTCTGCCACGGCAGCCTCCTTCTCCCGACCCTCCGGAGCTCGCTTTCTGCCCTCCACACGGGCCCTGGACCTTTCTCTTTCACCCGCCTCAGAAGCCCCAGATACTCGTCAGCGCCCCCGCTTGGGTCCAGCCTCACCAGCCCCGGGGCGGTAGGGCAGCCTGGCTCACAGCGCCCTCAGGCATCCCGCTCAGCGATTTCAGCTCCGTCGCGGCAGCGGCAGCCGCAGCTACGGTGTCACGAGTGGCTCAAAACGCGAACTACCGCCTGGGACAAACTACGTGCTGGGTAGGCGGAGCCGACGCGAGGAGGTGTGGTCTGTAGCTAGGATGGCGTTTCCAGAGAGCGCGAGCAAGGTTAACGGGGGCGGAACCAATAAAAGGGCCTAGGAAGCAGAAGATTTGGGTACTTGAGAATGACGGATTCCTCGTAATATAATTGTGGGTACCGATCTTAGAGGAAAAACAACAGAACATGGCTTCAGAACTGAGACAACCAACCCTTTTATGGTATTATTGTGTCTGGTGTCCCCGAGAACTGCACTTCCCGGAGCCCTAAGGCGATAACCACGCCCACAGGGTGCTAAGGTTAGCATTTGATAGGCCCGAGGGACCACAGCAGAAACTCACTCCTAGCTCAGAATAACAAGATTGAGGTACAGCCAAAAAGCTCTGCTCGCATCGACCCCAAGAGCTGGGATTTGGGAATAGTTTCTGCTCGCGCACGGCCGGGAGCGTTGACCCACGTGGAAAGGATTCTTCCGAGTAACCCAATTCAATCGCTGTTTTGAACTGGGCAGCCTGATTGGTCATGATGGAAAAAAGGGGAAGGAGGCTTTGAATAGAGCTTTAGAAGTGGGGGGAAGAGGGAAGAGGGAAGAGGAAAGACAAGTGAATGAGGATGTGGGATATTCGAGGGGGTCTTCAAAAATTTCATGGAAAGATTTTTTTTTTCCTTTGGCGGCTGGGCGGTGCGGGATCCAAGCCCACAGATCTTGGTGGTATAACACCGTCCTCAAACCGAGCTAACCAGCCAGCCCTCCTATTATCTTTTAACTTCATTTTTTCCACGAGTTTTTTTTTTTTTTTTTAAATACCGCCGTTTCATGGATTCTTTAGCCTCCGTCCCACGCTCACTCACCCAGAGTAAACCAGGACTTTGTTGTTCCAGATCTTTTCCTTGCTCCTGCCAAAATTTGCTCGTGAAACCTGTTCCCTGGTCTGTTACTTGCCGAGGTCTCTGTCAAGCTTGCTGGCACTAGATTCGGTGGTATAGTTTCTCTAGCTCATGGGGGTTGGGGGGATACACAGAAATATGATTACATATTTATATCTCATAGGTGTCTAAGTCTAAGAGTGTATTTTCCAGGAGCCCCAACATTCTCCGCCTGGTTACTACCTCAAATTACCTTATGAAAAGGTCAGCCTAATCCAAAAGACTTGAGCCAGAGAAACAGTACTGATGTGTCGGTCTCATCCAAATCTTTGAAATCCCTGGGGGAGATGACATGTCAGCAAGAGGGAAGAACCCCTAACATCATTGCTGTGGGTGGGCATTGTACAGCCAAGTGGCAAAGCAGGTAAGTGCTTCTGTGTACTGGAGTCATGTATTAAAAATGAAATTTGTAAAAATTACAGGTTGACATGGAGATCAGGGATAGCACCTCTTAGAAGACCAACTGGCAATAGCTACTACAGGAGTGAGGACTCCTTGCCTTCAATCATGAACTGTAAATATAATGAAACATAAAGTGGGATTTTCAAATTTATTTTCCCAGATCTGGAAGGAAGAGGCAAGAGCCACTGGCCACAACAGTATGAAATAGGTGGTTAGATCCTTCAACCCCTTGCTAGTCTGATTTGACCTCTCCAAAGGGAAAAGCTAAATGGTGCCACCTGCTGTCTTTACTCATGTGGTGCAGACCCCAGTAACTGCCATCCGCACCCATGAAACAATAAAAATGTGCCCAAGCTGTCCCCAATCCTCTCCAGAATGTCAGTTTTCTCATTTACCTAACCACTCATGGCCAGGTAAATGGGTTTACTAAGTGCAATTTCTCAGTCATTTCTGGTCCATTTCTTTGGTCATTTCTTGTCCGAAGCTACCTTGGTTTATATTCCCCTTAAAAAAAAAAAAAAGTTTCCCCAATTACCCTCATATGATGCTGAAGCTGCAGAGGCAAATCCAAGTTCATACTTTTCACTGCCTAAAATGATTTAGATGAAAAACTGAGAACAGCATAATGAGGGGATTTTCTGAGTCTGGATACTTCCAGTCTAAGGCCAAAACCACACATTTTTAATTCTCCACAATTCAGTCCAAACTTTATTGTCTAGGTACCATGTGGCCTTTAACATACCATTATGGGCACAAGCTGCAGACTGTTTCCGTGCTTCACGAATTAATTCCTTAGAAAATAGTCCCAGGTCCACTGTGAATAGAAGTGTTATTCCCTTTTCTCTACTCAAACTAAATACTTGCCATCCCACCTTCCAGGATGGTATTGACCCCTAAATAAGTTGGCCCCTATCCATATGCTATTTCACTTTTTATTCTGCTTGTATAGGTCCAAAACATGTATACATGGTGTCAGATTCTAAAACTTTAGATGTCTGTGAATAGATGTTATACAGTTATCTATTTAGCACTATGCTCATTAGATCAAATTTTTAACTCACCCTAGGCTTACTATGCAAATAAGTAGAATTATAAGATTCTGGAAAACTAATAGGCTATAATAAACATTTGCTCGTCAGTTCAAATATTTATTGAGCACCTTTACATGCAAGGCACTGTGAGACAGCTGAGACCAATGACTGCAGTTGGAAACAGGATGAATCTCAAAACATTGTTTCTAAGGCTGCTTTCCTGTTTAACAAAATCTCTTCTACCACCAGAGTTTGCAACGATAGAATTTAGTAGTTTGGATTTTTCTCAAAATTTCCAACTTATTTCCTGGTTTAGCCTTTCCACACACATCTCTGTCACTAATACTCAACACTTACATGCCTTTGTAGAGCAGTTCAATCATATTTAATACACTATAGTTACGCCTTAGTTGAAAAGTTTTATATACCAAATTATTTCCTTGTATTTCAAAAATGCATTAACTGATTTTTTTCCTGCAGCTGGCAGTGAGTGAATACCTCAACTTTAATTTTCTCTGCACCCAGCCATTCACATCCATGTAAAATTTCATTAGTGACAATGTAAGTACTGATGCCCTTACAGCACTTTGTTCAAAACCAACAATTCTATACAGGAAATGTATTCTGATTCTTGGTCATCAATCTCTACAAAAGTACCTGAAAATGTGCTGCCTACACTGTGCAACGTTTTTTTGTTTTTTTTTTTAATTCTGGGAGGGACAAGGGCTATCATTATTTTCTAGACCTGTCTTCAAAGTGAATTTACCTCTCAATTTGCCTCACCCCATTCCATTTCAAATATTTCAACCAGTATGTTAGGGGGGAAAAATCCTATACTACTAAACTCTGCTCAAAATAATGTTTGTCTTCCTTTCTTCTGTTTTGATAACATCTTCAAATATGTTATAGAGATGCTTAGCATCAGGTATTTCTTACATAATTCTAGAAAAAAAACAACTGCATGTACTATAAAATTATGCAAAATGAACAATTTTTATGAAGCTTATATGACTGAATTTTCATCTGTTAGTGACCTTAAATAATGAGCAACTCAATGTTTAATGGATTCCTTTAATAAAATTTTTTCGTAAATTATGAAACTAGTTACCATATATCTTGACTTAAGAACACCCATGAGGGCCGGCCCGGTGGCGCACTGGATAGTGCGCCGCTTGGGAAGCGCGGCGGCGCTCCCGCCCGAGGGTTCGGATCACACGCACCCAAAAAAAGCTAGTAGGGAAACTTGCCAGAATTTGAACCCAGATCTGCCAAAACTCCAAAGTCAGACCATAATTGTGTCTCCCAGTGTGTAAATATCTATCAAATACTTTGTGCACATGTGTGAACATGCCAAACTTTGAATGATTTAAGTATAACCTGTATTTTAATACTTAGGACAGCATCATAAAATTAATTTCTAAATGAATATTGAAATTTATCCAGTTTCTATGTTTAGCAATTGGTGTTAATTTACCTCTCATAAGTGCTAGAAAGGTTCTACAATACCTCCTCCAGCCCTTTTATACTATTCAAGCTTTTTATTAGCCCTAATGTTGATTGCCTTCCCAGGGCATCTACTAGTTTGAGTATAATTTGTCTAATTAAATTTAAGATTGTGTTTTTAAACCATTATTCTCCAAGGTAACAGGTAAACTGCCTTGCACACACTGGTACTATGAGGCTACCCTTTCGTCTGTGTAGAATGACTTCTGAGACAAATACTTGCCATCAAGTTGCACAAAATTCTGAAGCCTCCACTTAAAACATGATACAAGGAGTAGGACACCAAAAACCTCCCCCAAATGGCATGTCAGAAACTTTGAGAACAAGAAGGAAGTCTTATGCTAACACTACTTCAGTGGAACCTCTCTCAAATATGTCTCAGGGCATTACAATTCTCTACTCCAACTCGGCACAAACCTCCCAACACCAAGACCTGCTTTAATTATTATAACTGATTTATTTCAGGTTTATACATTCTCTTTCAATTGCCAAACATCTTCTGTTCTTAGGTTTCTAAAAAAATAATTACTTTTCAAAAGCAGAAAAGGAAAGATATATATTTAATATATAAAAGAAAATGCTAAATTTGACATAATTATATTCTTAAAAACATTCCATTTATTTACAGATGTATAAAAAGGCGAATTATTGGTCTACTGAGATCATGCTTCTTATAGTTAGGGTGAGAGCTCTCTCTTCCAGGTTTCTCAATTCCTCTCACTCAACTTCACCTTTCATAATCACACATGTAACTTTATCAGTTTCTCCTAGAGTAAGGTTAAAGGATAAAAGGTTTTGAGATTTTAGATTTCTGCCAAGACTGCAGGACTGTTCTGAAGACTGAGTCCCCCTCAAATTAGCCCTGACAACTCCTAGTTTTAAGAGGTCTTGAGAACACTGTGTCTTGGGGATTTGTGATGACATCTGCGGCCTTCCCTGAACACACCTGGAAATATCCTTAATTTCCATCTTTGTATATCTCTCATAAACAGTCAAATATCCT